TTTTTTTTAAGTCCTTGCTATGGCTTAATCTGTTCTGTATGGCACAAAATGCAGTTATTGCTAAGATAAGACCTCAATAATAAGTTATGAAAAGTACAGGTGAATGAGGCCCGACTGCCATTTAAAAAAAAAAAAAAATTAATCAAAGTTAAAAATGTATGATGTCCACACGAATCTAGTGATTGTGCATTTAATTGAGTTGGCTTTCCTGTATTTGGAGAAGACACACGTAGAGGAAAAAAAAAACGTCATTTGAGGTGTCCTTCCCCCTCCCCACCACCCAGGCCCCATCCCTCAAATGCCAAGTGGCCACTTCGTGCTGCAGCTGCTGTTTCCGCCGAGATAAAGTGACATGTTGCTGATTCTGTGCCTGGTGTAAATAAACACTAACCTGTTGCTTTACAAACCCACCCCACCCCCCTACCCGCACCCCCCTCCTCGTTCCATTGCAGAGGTTTACCAGTAAGCAGGATGTGATCAGGCACTACAACATGCACAAGAAGAGGGATAATTCCCTGCAGCACGGTTTCATGCGTTTCAGCCCCCTGGATGACTGCAGCGTCTACTACCACGGCTGCCACCTCAATGGCAAAAGTACTCATTACCACTGCATGCAGGTACATCTCAACAAGTACACGCCTGCAAACACGATACACATGTTTGCACATCCTTGCAAAGTCTTGTTTGGCCTTGCCATCTGCAGTTAAACCAATATTACCCAAACCCAGTCCAAGAGTCAACTTGTATTTGTTGACCCAGTATTTTGTTCTATTTATTTTTTAATTTTTGGGGGGGGGGGGTGACATCAGGAAAAAAAGTTTGTCAGATATTGTTTTTTTTCCATTGATGATTTGTTACGTTTTAAAATGTGTTCATATCCTTGGCAACCTTTTGCAGAATTATGAAGGCTCCTGGTAGATTCGCATGAGCGTTTGAATCAATTGTATGTTTAGAACATGAGATATGCCTGTACAGTGGTACCTCTACGAATAAAATTAATTGGTTCTGGAAGAAATTTCTCAACTAGAACATTTTGGAAGTAGAGACGCGTTTTCCATTTAAATGCCCTAATCCGTTCCAAGCCCCCCAAAATTCAGACATGAATGTTTCCGAAAGCATAAAAATGCATCAAAATATGTAAAAAATTACATTACATTTAGATTATTGCACAATAAATGAGAGTTGTGCATAATGTAAAAAACAAAGAATTGAGTAATGACTAAAAATGATGGTCATTTAACTTTTAACTGCGTCCTCGTTGTTTTTTGCCCTCTTTAGTTCAGGTTCTCTCTCAGAAGTTATTTTGGCCTGGCGATTTCTAAAGAACCGATCCGAGGGCGTTTGCTTTTGTCGGCTTTTAACAATCCTTCGAAAATGTCCAAGACAAACATCAGCATAGTGGGCGATCGCCCGACTGGTGAACACTTTTTCAATGTGATTCACATTTACGGAAAACTAACGAAACGCCTGAGGGGCGAATGACAAGGATGCAGCATAGACGCAGATCTATCTATCGACACACATAGACACATACGGGATGCCAGGATGATGCTCGGTGATAGCCAATGGCAGAGCAGCTATAAGTATGTTGCGTTCAAGAAACTCAGAGCTGCGATTAGCAGGCCATACTGTATTTTTACCTTTCGTATCTTGAAATTTCTTTCATAACAAAAGGCGATATTTTCCTGTTGAGATGTTTTGTAACTTCAAAATTTTGTATGAAGAGACGTTCGCAAGTAGAGGTACCACTGTAATTTGACATCATTTATGTCAAATCAAAATGAAATGATGATGAAAAATTATTGTCATTATTATTATTATTATTTTTTTAATGGCTATCCATTTAATGCAAACAGACACTCAACATTTCCGAATAGAGGATTGCTTTAGAACTTAACTAAATACAGTTTCAAGTTGGTATGTATAAATGTACAGCGTGTATGAGTCCATCGACTTACTTTCTTTCTTGCTCAAGACCGGTATCAAATGAGGAGCTTAGTAGGATTTTGTACAAAAGACTTTATTTCGGGTCTTTTTTTTTGAGAAATCGTGTTGATGGAAATGAGGGACTTGAGAGCTAAATATAAAGCTGGTGTTTGTCTCATGCAGCGTGTAGATACCGTGACATTCTCGTTTCAACGTCATGTCCTTATGTCACTTTTGCGTTTTCTGACGCACAAGCTTTAAGACACCCACCGCGCGCGGCCCAACATCAAAGAGTTAAAATAGGGTAGCAAGGTAAAAAGTGTCATCTTGTTGAAGGCAATGAGTCGCTCACTTCAACAACAAAAGGACACCTCCGCACTCTTTTCCATCCACACCAAAGCATCTGAAAAAATGTCTTTTCAAGCGAATAGCAAAAAGGAAAAACAAAAAGATTCCAATTGGCGCACATAGACACACAAGGCAGTTGGTTCCCACCTCCTTGTTCCCTCGCTCCTTAATTGGCGTGGATGAAATTCGCTCAGGTGTTTATGTAAATGTACACATTCTTCATGTTTTAGTACCGGGCAGACGGTTCAAGATTATTCACCCGTCTGGATTTGTTTAATTTTTTGGAGTACATCTGCTTAATTTCAACGTGTCATTTTGCTTTTAGCATTCCCTGACGGTGGAGGATGTGCTTGAGATAGATTTTTTTTTTTTTTTAACAGTGTCATTGTTATTGACATTCCAGATTTTGTTTTAACAGTTCTGTCAAGCTACAGATGTATCTGCCTGATTTAGGGAGGAAAATACAAAGAGGCATTTTTTTTTTCCATTGTTTGACCTGACATGGAGAAGTTTGCCATTTTGCGTGGGCGACAAACACCAAGGATGATGTACTGTATGTTTGCTGTTTTTAATTCCAACATAATCACCGGCCCTATTAGCCCCCAGGGTTCAACTTGAGACCGTTCTGTTCCACTCCCTCCCCCTTGAAAGAGTGTTACAGTAAGTTTGTGGTGACCTCAGCCCTCCAAATGTGACAGGAAAGTACTGTAGTTGTAGGCACCCCTCGCTTCTTGAAAGCAGCACGGCTTTCAATGGCAAACCACAAATTAAGTATCGAACATGAGAACCATTTCTCGGCCGTTTTCTTAACCGCACCGAGAGCTTCCTTTTTTTGACTCCCCTCACAAACGGAAATCCTGCGGGCCGCTCTTTGTCTCTGCTCGGCAGGTGGGCTGTAGCAAGGTGTACACCAGCACCTCGGATGTCATGACGCACGAAAATTTCCACAAAAAGAACGCCCAGCTGATCAATGATGGCTTCCAGAGGTTCCGTGCCACTGAGGACTGCGGCACGGTCGGGTGCCAGTTTTATGGCCAGAAGACGACGCACTTCCATTGCAGGTGACGTTGAATCATCTTTTTGGGTTTTTGCTCTTCTTTATCTTTCTTGACACTAACATGACATAACCTTGCAGAAAGAAGTTAGTGCTAACTGTTAATGCCTGCTATAAATACCTTAACAATATTGAAAAAAAAATTGTAAAGGAGTATGGCATGGATTGAGGAAGAAATGTTTTTTGGTGTCACTTGAAAATAGATTAAATTCATCTTCTTTTGTTTTAGTTTTTGGCTCTGTCGTGTACATTTTCGCCACCTACTGGACTGGAGTCAAACATCATCTTGTGACTTTGACAGTGAAACAGATTTTTTTTTTTTTTTAAATATGTAAAACGAAGCTTCAAAAGTCCTGAAAATCTTAACGTCTCTACTCTCAAACGCTGTATGCATGTGAACACGTGTCAACTGTCAATCAAATACCCTGACTGCAACCTGAAAAAAAAAATGGATCCTACGTCATCGAGCATCTTTCTTATCACTACACATCCTTATAGTTGAGCCCTGAAAATATATCCACTTCAAACCTCCCGTGGCTGATCTATATCCTTGCAGATTGTTGTGGGTTTTATCCATGCTGCTACCACAAGGCAACCATGCTATCCCTAATCCCTGGTCCACATGCTGGCTGTCAGGTTGGACTCCAAAAATAAAATTTTCCAGCAATCATCTTCAAACGTGTATAGTGTAGTTCGAAACGAATCACGGATTTTGTTGAGTCTTTAAGCAATCACGCTGTCCTGCGGTGTTTTACTTGCATGCCATGTTGTACGAGATGCAAGGAGAGTCGCTATCTGGCAAATGATAAACAAACACACCTGCGGAGGCCCACTTTGCGGTTTGCCCACAGCAAACTATCATGGAATGTCTCCCACTGCCAGGTGGCGGCGGCGTGCCAGTCAGCGGTCACTGAGTTGCCTCTTCGACCACCCCTCCATGATGGTTACTGAACGTAACAGAACGTTGAAGCCTCTCTTGATACCCCTTTTCTTCTCAGGCGCCCCGGCTGCACGTTCACCTTCAAGAACAAGTGTGATATCGAGAAGCACAAGAGCTACCACATCAAGGATGACGCCTATGCCAAAGATGGCTTCAAGAAGTACTACAAGTACGAGGAGTGCAAGTACGAGGGCTGCGTGTACAGCAAAGCGACCAACCACTTCCACTGCATCCGCTCGGGCTGCGGGTTCACCTTCACCTCCACCAGCCAGATGACCTCCCACAAGCGCAAACACGAGCGCCGGCACATCCGCTCCTCCGGCGTCATGGGCCTCTCTTCCACCTTCCTGGCCCCAAAAGACGAGCCGGAGGAATCGAGCAACGACGACCTGATGGACTTCTCGGCCATCAGCAGCAAGAACTCAAGTCTGAGTGCCTCGCCCACCACCCAGCAGTCCACCACTGTATCCCACCTCATGGCCACACCCACTACTGTTGTCTCCTCCTCCTCGGTGGGCCTCACCCTCAAGCCGACGCCCGCGCTGCCCAGTGTGGGCCAGCGTATGTCCAGCCTGCTGTCCCAGGCCTTGCCCAGCAACATGCCGGTGGCCCTCTCTCTGTCCAACAGCAACATGGCTGCTTCCAGCCCCTTCTACCCACTCATACCCAGGTTGCCTGTCCAGCCTCCTCCGCATGCTGCCGGCCTGTTATCAGCCGTCTCATCCGGTGGCCATTCCATGGCCACCGACTCGCTGACCCAAGGCTGCTCTACGGCGGGGGCGGACGGAGCCATGGCGTCCACCCCGACCTCCTTCTCCACCTCCTCCATCATGGAGAAGATCTCAGCCAGCAAAGGTCTGATATCGCCCATGATGGCCAGGCTGGCTGCTGCTGCTCTGAAGCCTTCCAATGGACCAGATGCAGGTCAGTGACTTCAACGACGGTCGGCTGCGCAATCACAAATCCCCCAAATTATTGACCCCAAAATTGACTTGAACGCTCTAATAAGAGTCGGAGTCCATTTGTATGTGTCAAGGCACTCATGTGTGTATCCCTGCTGGATAATGATTTAATTCAAACAAAACCATCTCCACAGGAGTACGACGCTGGGGTCAGAAGCATTTCCTCTCAGGGTTCCCATGGGTCCTTAAAGTTCATAAAAATCCATAATTTTCAGGGAAAGCTTCTAAAATCAATAAAAATCCTTAAAAAAATATTTTTATTCGAAAATAAATTGAAGTTTTATATTTTATATTACAAATTTTCTTAGTGTACCTTATTTGAAAATGAATTGAAGTTTTTTTTCATTTTCCTACCTCTAATACAGGTAGGAAAATGAAAATTTGACAAACATTATGTCTAATAAAGCGTTAGCTGATTGGCCCTAAAAATAAAAATGTGCCCTTCCTTTGGCAGCAATGATTTGAACACCAGCTCAGTGATATGTGGCTTTCTGTTCAGCCCGCATATTGCTGAATCCCCGGCTAAATTGAAAAAAAGTCCTTAAAAATGGCTAAATTAGCCCTATAAAGTCCTTAAAAGGTCCATAAATAAAGAACAAGTGGAAGAGTGGGAACCCTGTTTCTGCTCTGGGCTCGTTGTTGTTGTGTTGATGATGGTTAGTGAGATACCCATCGCGCATTTGGAGATAAATGCGTTGACAGAACCGAGTAGACGCTGTAAAAAGTCTTTTATGGCGCTTGGCGAAAGGCGTGTGGGCCAGCTCCCGGGGCCTACGTGGTGGTGGTTCCTCATCAACAGGCCTCTTATCTGTGTCTGTCTGCGCCCGTTCACATAGGAAATGGAGGTGGAATCAAATTAAGCGGAGGGGAAAAAAAAAAAAAAAAAACAAGAACAAAAAAACCCTCTTGTTTTCTGTGAGCTCCATGCAAACTGAATTCTCGGAAAAAAAAAATACAACAAAAATCAACCAAGCAGAAATGACAGCTGAGAGATTTTCCTCCTCCCATTAATACAAGATCACAGACACACTTGCACGCATCAGCAAAGACACGCTTTTGGAAATTCCCACAAAACATATCAACATCTATTTAGCATAAACAAAATCCACATACACTTTGAGAGGTAATTGCCGTGTTTGTGTCGATCATATTGTGCTCAACCAAGCCCAGGAAAATGAAAATAAAAAGCACGTTAAAGCGTTTAATTGATAAAGAACCGCACAGCGCGGGTTTTAAACGTGGTCGCAGTGGGACGGACCTCCTGTGCTGAGCTCCAGCAGGTGGGGTGCATGATAGAGATTGGGGCTGCAAGGGAGAGCGCGTCCGGATGTTGAGACTGGGTAGGATTACAGTTCCTGGTGGTGCTCCCCGAGAGATCATGGGGGGGGCTGAGCCGAGCCCAGGCTGTCAGGCTGAGCTCCACCTCTGTGCTTCGAGCAGGTAGTCGCAATTGCTTAGAAGGGGCCCCTGCTGAGGGCGGAGCCTTCACAGATGGTGCCATCACCCCCCCCCACCCCCCTCCCGTGGCCTTGTGTGAAGCATCAGCTCACATTTCTCTGCTGTTTAGCATCTAGGTATAATGTCTAGTGTAAGGTTAAAAGTGTAGACACAGGATGGGGGTTAGCTGTGGTTTTGTTTCTCGCATTTTTCTCATCAATGTGGGATTTTTTTTCTATTTTTTAGAGGGGGCTAAAATGCTGGAGGAAGTGGTTTTTGCTTCTATTTCACACACAAAAAAAAATGTCAATGTTCTTGTGGCCGGTTTCATTGAGCCTCTTCAATGTTGCCTTTAAATAAGACAGTGAGCCTTTTTTTTTCTTTTACTTTCACTGTTTTTAATTAATGTCCCTCTCTAATTTACCCCTGCGTGTTTTGCCCAGAGATTCGAGCATATGAAAGCTTTACTAATTAGACACACCGTACAAATGATCTTTCGCAAGCTCCGTATCTCATCCAGCGCAATTACATGGCGATACATTATTCCTGGATAATTTCCAGAAAGAAGCTGCTTTGAGTCAAACTCATTTGTACTCCCTCTTTGGGAAAGAAAAAAAAAACACACTGTAATGATTTGAAACAGAACAAGAGATGTTTTAAAAAAAAAACACTGTCATGATTTGAAACAGAACAAGAGATGTTTGCACTTTCATCCACCCTAAACAGTCAATGTATCCTCTGAGAATTTGAAAGAATTCTTTCATCTGCCTGGCGATCATGTGTTGATCACATAGCGAACGGCTCCTCTCTAAAGTCGCCTCTCATTTGGGCTGATTTAATTGTCGGTGACAAGGCCGGCTAGTTAATTTTGTGCGTGGTGTGATCAAGTTGGGGGCGGGGAAGGCTGGACTTTGCGAGCCTTGATGACCTCAAAGCAGTTGAAACATTCTGACTGCATTTTTTTTTTTTTTTTTTTTTTTTGAGTGCCGCCCAGCGCTCACCAACAATCCCCTCAAACCACGACCATTGTCAAGCCCAACTGACATTGACACTTTGCCCGTCTCCGAGCTTTTAGCTGACAAGGCCCAAGACTGGCCTTTCTACTTCTATTCTGCCTGATATGTCTCTGGGTCATCTTGTAGCAGCACCATGAGAGGGAGGGAGAGGGGGTGGTGGGGTGTGTGGGGGGGCATCATGGTTATGTCCAACCTCCCACCTCACGTACGTTTGTTCTTGTTTTCTCCCCAGCAGTAAAAATAAATAAATAAATAAATAAATATAAAGGCGACCGGCCTTACCAGGATGAGGCCAAGGGCACACACTTGGCTGCCCATGACCTTGCCTGTCACAATCCCTCAACACAAGCCCCAATTCCTAACCAGAGTCCAAACCCTGCCGGTGTTCTGATGTTTTGGTGTCTTAAGTGTGTGTGTGTGTGTGTGTGCGCTCCCGTTTTTGCGGATAAAACACCACTTATTGTCTCCCAAAAGACTCGGCTTCCCTGCATGGCCCCGGGACAAATTAATATTTCAATCCCTTGGGATTTGGAGGAGAGGGTTCATCTTCCTGTCAACGTTTCTGCCTTACGTTGTCCCTCTTGTCTTTGTTTATGACCACCACCAAGGGGGTTATAATTTCCTTTCTTTTTTTTTTCTTTTTTTTATTTGCTAGTGTTCACATTTCCTCCTATGGTGGCTCCATTTACGTGGTCGGCCATTATTTTTACAAACTATTTTCATAATCCTATTTTTAAAAAAATGAAATATTGTGAATATTTTGCTTCAGAAAAAATTGTCGTCATTTACAATCAGAGACTGGCTAAGGCTTCGGCTAATGCTTTGGTTTGGGCTGCTGTTTTGGTTAGCGCAAGAGATGAAATGTGCCCAGCCATTCATTCTTAAATGCAAGTGTGTGAACAAATGGGTTTCCTCGGGGAGGGGGGGAAAAAAAGTACGTGTCTATTTTAAGAGAGAGAGACACAAGTTCACGACAGTGCAGGCAACTGTTTGAGGAAATGGTGTTGACTGAACCATTTTCCACGGAAATTTGAGAAGGGCGTGTGGTTTGACGAAAGAAGAACCGATAAAGTCCCGGTGTGGCTCTTGAAAAATACGCTGACGCAGAATTTTTGTATTTTTCTCTGTATTTTAGATGAAGAAATCGTGGCTCGATTTTGGTGTTGGTCTTCGTGATACTTTCTGTGGCCTTGGCAGAGATTTGCATTCAACTGACTATCACTGAAAATTTGCGTACTCCTCCTTCGCCGAATCTTCCAAATAACCTATTTGGATCAGAACGAGAGCAGGAGGTCGCTTTCTTTGAACCGTTCTGATTGGCTGTCATCTCCAATCTGACCATCAAAACACCCCTGTTCCTCGTGGGTACGCTCGGCGGTATTGGCTGCAGCGCGTCGCCAGGCCAACGAGGAACCGGATAGGGCGGGGAGGGTTGTGGGGGTAGAGGGGGGGTGTCCAATCTGAGGCTGCCACTTTCCCTCAGCATTAGCATCTCACTTAATGACCAGTTAAGAGGCAGCCCGGCAAATGAGTTGTGACAAGGGCTGCAGAAAAGGGAGTTTTTTTCCCTCATATCGCCCGCCTCTCAATCACCATTTAAAAGGCTTGACGGCCTGACATAATTTCACAATAATTATCACTCCGAGTTCTCTTTTCGGGCCGGGACAGAAGTCAGAATGGATCTCGTCACAGGGTAATAGTGCTGACCAACAATAACGTTGTTGTTTCTCCCTTGATTGTTAGGGAGCGGGCAGCCGGTGCCAGTCAGCCAGTTTCATCTGGCTCAAGTCAAACAGGAACCAGCGGAAGCCAACTCGGGGGCCTCGCAAGACTCCACACAAGAACACAGTTTGGACCTGAGCAAGAAAGACACCAGGTACCCTGTGTCATTTTTTTTTTTTTTTTCGCAAAATGTGGACCACCAGGCCAACGAAATGAACAACTCTGACCGATTGAACACGAGCGATAGTTTCCGACAAGATTGTTTATCAAAAACACTCTATTTATTCCAATCCTCTCATGTCTCGGGTTTTTTTTTGTCTGAGGAGAATGTTTGCGTAAAAAAAAAACCTTCAACTTCAACTCCCAGTCTGTTTTTTTTTTCCTGTGTTTGTTTGTTTGTTTTTTAACAAGACAGTGTTTTCATCTTCATTAGACCGGCACACCTTGCGTGATATATAGTAATATTTACTGTTCTCATGCAAATCTTTACTAAACAATGTTCATTTTCTTTGTTCCAGTAGTAATGAATCAAATGGACATGCTGTACCGGGGAATGCATCTCTTTTATCCTCACTTATGAATAAGGTAAGATCCATCCATCAAAGCCCTTTCATCCCAAGACAAATTAGCGGCACACGGTGGGGCCTGTTTGTTTTTTAATGTTTCGCCGCTAAAAAGATGAGTTTGTATCATTTAAATTTTCCAGCCATTTTTCACACGGAGTAATTTCCATCGCACCTCACACAAATTAATATAATGAAGTAGTAGCTGGCTGCAACGCCAGATATATCGTCATGTTTGTTTTCTGATGAGCTGTTTTGAACCCGAGGTGCCTTTTTTTTTTTCTCCCCCCCTTTATGTTCCTTCTCCTTGCCCTGTCTGGCTCTGCATTTATCCACCGTTTATAAATGATATGATTAAAACGCCGCCGTAGAAAGGAAGAGGGAGGTGTACCCTCATTTTTTTTAGCAACTTCAAATGTTAGTCTGTGGATATTTACATGCGCGTGCGTGTGTTGTGATGATTAAAATGGACAATGTCTCTAATCACTATAATGACAGGTCAGCCCCCCCCCCCATCCCCTCACCCTCATTTCTTTTTACACATGGGCAACTGTTCAAGACCTCCTTTCCCATACAATTTCCCCGATGTCATCATTATTAGCTCCGAGATGGACTTGTGCTCGCTTTCCATTGAAGCCAGAGAGCTTAAAAAGCTTGCCAGGTTGGCTTTGGGGCCTTTTTCAAGCGCCCCCCACCCCCCACCCCAACCCCTCCGCATCACATTAAAGGGTTAACCGTGAGTCCCACGAGGACGCTTGGCAAACGTTCCTGGCCTGCACTCAAGCAAAAAGCCAAATGTTTGTCAATCCGTTTGCGCTTTTCCTCCTCTCGCCAAATCGTTTGCGCGCGTGCGGCTGTGTGTAAACTCTTCCCGCAATGGTGAGCATATTGAAGAGCCCAGCGTGTGTTTTTTACGCCGCGTCTCTTATTGTAGATGGCACAGGTGAACCCTGCACTCTTCAACGCCATGCACCTGAAGACGGAGCTGGAGGGCGGCCAGGCCGGCGAAAACCCGGAGGTGGCCCAGTACCTGAGCCAAGTTCTGAAAAGGCCCCAGTTAGACAAGCCCAGCGAAATCTGGAGGACTTACCTCCGCAGGTAAAGAGTTGGCATGGAATTCATCGTCAAATTTTACCTCCATCAACTGACTTTTTAGTCCCTATCTCATTCAGATGTTGGTCTTTCACCCTTTCATGCGCCAACAATGATCACCTGTAACCCGATAACATGATAAAGCTGTCCACTGTAGTAAACGCTCTCCCTGAAAGGGTTCAAAGTCAGCCATTCATTCATGAATTTTGTAGCCAAATTAAAAAAGTTATGCCTACTTTTTGATTTTGTAAAAAGGTCAAAGAAAAAAAGTAAAAGGCAAAAAAGGGTAAGTTGGAAGGAAGTTTTGATAAAATTACAAGCGTTTATTAGATGTTTCTTGTGAAGGGCTTATCATTCTTTTGTTCAAGTATAGAATTCCGCAAAAGTTTTTTTTTTTTTGGGGGGGTTGATTACATTAATCAATCAAAAATTAATACATCTATCTATTTATCTCTCTATCTCGCTATCTATCTATATCAGTGGTTCTTAACCTTTTTAAAGGTACCGAACCCAACCAGTTAATATGCACATTCACTGAACCCTTCATGAGTGAAAAATAAAAAAATATATTTTTTACAAATTCAAGATATTAAAAAAACACATTTATTAAAAAAAACAGAAAAAAATCAATAATTCGACGTACATAAATCAATAGTACGACGTACGATCACGACAGTCACACGTTGACTACTAAGCGAACTAAATTTCCCACCGCACTGATTGGACAAGCAATGTCATGTGATCATTTGCAGGCAGTGATGGTCAAGCGGACGTGTCATAACTCATTGACATGTTGAGTCGCGTGTGTCTTAACGTCCATGGCAGAGGCTCCGTCGAACCCCTGACGCCGACTCTGGGGTTCGATCAAACCCAGGTTAAGAACCACTGATCTGTATAGATAGATTTTTTTTTTTTTTGCGGGAGGCGGGTAGTACCATATTCCACCTCCCGCGTCCCAACATTCAGTGTCATTTATATTCATTAAGAGTGAGTAGAGTATTTTGCTTTATGTCTAAATGCATCGCTGGGCAGTCAGTGTCGTCGTAGCACTGTCCCGCTCATACTGTATGTATCACAGGAAAGCCCCTAAAAATGTTTCTTCCGTTTTTACCGAGTCTGACGGGAATCTAAATGGGTTTGTCATGTGAAATACTACAGAGAGGTGACGTCAGTAGTGTGATTTGTTGTAAATGGTTTCACTCTGTCTCTCCGTCGACGTCAAGGTTTGACACAGATGACTTCTGCGAGGCTCAGTGTGACTTCCTCCAGAAAGTGCACTTTCACTGTCTAGTCGAGGACTGCGGCGCTCTCTTCAGCACTGTGGACGGAGCCATAAAACACGCAAAGTATGTGCCGCAACCGTTACCGTTCTTGATGTACTTTATGAGCATCAAAAGAGAGAAAAAAAAACAAGCTCCTGTGTTTTTAGCTTCCACCTCCGAGCCACTCTGAAAGTGAAGTCGGAGCCTCCGTTTAGCGAGGGGAAAGTGTCCGGCGAGGGCGGTCCTCTGCGGCCCGCTGCCCCCGTCTCCATGGCCAACAACCCCTCAGTGGATGTGACGCATATCCCCTCGTCCGGTGGCTACAGCTCCCCCCCTCCCTCCCTGTTGGCCTGGAAGCAGCTGACCGGCAGCATCCCCCAGATGCCGGCCTCCATGCCCAACCTGCCGGCCAACTCCCCTCTGGCCACCACCTCGTTGGAGAATGCAAAGCCGCAAGTCAAACCTGGTTTTCTGCAGTTCCAGGAAAAGTATGACAAACATGAGTTCAAAATGAGTCGGACAACTAGAACAGGGAACTCTGTGCACAGCGCAAACGTTACGACTACAAATGCATTCCCCCGCACGCGCTCCAATTTGCTTACACACACTCACAGCCACACAAAACTGTAGCATCGCCTGCAGTAACACATTCTACAAACATTGCTCATATGCTGAGCTGAAAATTGTGTTTTGTTTTGAAAATCGCATAAAGTGGTTAGGCAGTATGTGTTAAGACGTGTTACTTCGTCTGCCGTGGATTCGTGTTTACACGGTGATAAATTGTGGCGGCTTCCACGTTGCGCTTGGTCAAGGATGAACCCAAAACATCTTGTCACTGTCACGCGTAAAAACTCCTTTATCCTAATTTGGTCAGTTTCATATATTTTCACAAATTTGTACGACTGGCCACTGCTCTCTGGGCCTGTTTTTTTTTTTTTTTTTTTACAAATAATTGATGAATCTGAGTGTTGAAAGTGTGGTGCTTTCTGTGATGAGGAAATGTCAATTGCTCAAAAAGCATGCTGATTTTCTCTTTTCTTGGAGATGTGAAGATTCTGGCCCACGCGAGTGATATTATTGCAGAACATTTTTTTTGTACACCATCCAATCAACTCTCCATGCCTTTTTACACTCTGTTAAAAAAAAAAATCGCTGCCATTGACGAGTATAGTATTAAGTTTTTTTTTTTTTTTTGTTTTTATAGGAATGCACTGTAAATTTCAAACTTACAACCAAACAACTTAAATGATGCACAACAACCAGTAGATGTCTCATTTTAGATATGAGAAGGGCTGAGTTGAGCGTGCTGGGAGAAACAGCTTAATTTTGTGCCACCTATCTTTTTTCGACTGCTGGTTACAAAAGACCGGAAAAAGGCAGAATCAAACTTTTTTTTTTCTGCTGATGAGCCAAGTCTGTCGTTACATCTGGTAGTTTGGCAAAGACCGGAAAAAGGCAGAATCAAACTTTTTTTTTTTCTGCTGATGAGCGAAGTCTGTTGTTACATCTGGTAGTTTGGCGCCTATATCATCATTGACCACAATATCCCGTGGGTCTTGAAAAGTCAAAATGGTCAAAAATAGCCGACAGCGGATGAGGGTTTAATTTTTTTTTTTTCATTGTTTTAATCCAGTGATCCCTGTTTGGCAACGGACTGCAAGTACTCCAACAAGTTCCACTTCCACTGCTTATTCGGGAATTGCAAGTACGTGTGCAAGACGTCCGGCAAGGCCGAGTCCCACTGTTTGGACCACATTAACCCCAACAACAACCTGGTCAACGTCCGTGACCAGTTCTCCTACTACTCCCTTCAGTGTCTGTGTCCCAACCAGGTGAGTTCACTGTGATGGTAAACTTCTGTCGGCCCCCCTCCCGGTGCGTTTTCAACGCATGAAGTATGTTGCCCATTATGGCATGATTTGAGGAGATTGGACTCAAGGCTTTCACAAGCGTGGCTCAGCGTCTTCCATCTCAGCTGAAGAAGACAGTCAAGTCACCCCAGTAATGCCTGTTTATATGTCAATAATGTCATTTTGACTGCCGCATTCTCCTCTCAGAAAAGGCCAATTTAGCTGATATTACCCAACCCCCCCCCCCCCCCGCCTGCTCTCATGAGCCCACATTTGGAAAACCGTTTAAATGAATTCATTAATGTGCCGAAAATCACCCCTTTCACAAACGCAACCCAACCCCTCACCCCTTCCCTTCACCCCCCTCTCCCTCCCATCCCTCCCTTCCTCCTCCACCAGCTTCCATCTCCCCGAATGGAGCAGATCTTATTTGGCTCAGTCCTTTGGGATGCGGGCCCCACCAACAGATGGTGGTGTACAGACACGTTAAAAGAGGAGGGGTGACGCCGTCTCCTTCTTAGATAGTGGCCCTGTTCCAAGAGGGAGTAATTCATCTCGAAATTGAAATCAGAAATGTTGTTGTGCCGTTGCCAAGCTGAAATGACAATCAAGAAAGTCAAGACACTGAAGACAATCAAGGGGCGTTAATACATCACAGGATATCAAAGCAATCATCAGATGTCATGCAAATGTGCCTCTTGAAGACTCCCCCAGAGCAGTTATGAATCGAGGATTGCGGCGGTTGATGCCGGTTCATACATTACAGCATAGCAGCAGACACTGGACAGGATCATTATGTCATTGTCATCGTATGTATGTTAGGCATCAGTGCAACCAAATGAGCACTATTGATGAATACAGTCGTTCGATATCATCTTCCGGCAATTCTAAGACATCATGAGCTTCACTTTCAAGTCTTCCGACTGACTAGAGTAAGGCGCTCACAGAATACAGTGCCATGAAAAAGTATGTGCCCCCATCCTGATTTCTGTGTTCTTTGCATATAATTCACACACAAAGATTTCAGTTCATCAAACCAATTTTAATATCACATTGAGATAACCCAGAGAAATTCAAAATGCGGTTTGTAAATGCCAATTTAATTTATTTCGACACAAACACAAACCTACCTGTCCCAATGTGAAAAAAGTAATTTCCCCCTGAACCTAATAATGGGTTGTGCCACCCTCTCGCAGCAATAACTGAAATCAAGCATTTGTGATTATTGATGATGAGCCTTTCACATCGCTGTGGAGGAATTTTGGCCCGCTCTTCTTCGCAGAATTGCTTCAACTCCGCCATATTGGAAGGCTTCGTAGCATGAACTGCACGTTTCAAATCCAGACTTTGACTTGGCCACTCCAAAACCTTAATTTAGTTTTGTTTAGTATCGTTGTCCTGCTGCATGATCTAAGAGCGCTTGAGTTTGAGGGCGCAAACTGACTGTCGGACGTCCTCCTTCAGGATTTTCTGATAGACAGCAGAATTCATTGTCCCATCAATGACAGTGAGTTGTCCTGGTCCTGAGGTAGCAAAGCAGCCACAGACCATTACACTGTCACCATCATGCTTCACTGTTGACATTATGTTCTTTTTATCAAATGCTGTGCCATTTTTACCCTAGACGTAACGGTCCGCACATCTTCCAAAAAGTTCAGGTTTTTTTACTCATCAGTCCACAGAATGGTTTTCCAAAAGTCTTGAGGATACTCAAGATGTCTTTTGACAAATGTAAAACGAGACTTTGTGTTCTTTTTGGACAGCATTGGCTTTCGCTGGGAACCCCCCCCCATGGATGCCATTTTTGTCCGGTGCGTTGCTTATGCTAGTCGTGAACACTGACCTGAACTGTGGCCAGCGAGGTCTGTAGTTCTTTGGATGTTGTTCTAGGTTCTTTTGCACCCTTCTGGATGAGTCGTCGTTGCACTCTTGGAATAATTTTAGCTGGTCGACCACACCTGGGAATGTGTTCCACTGTTCCCACTTGTATTCATTTGTGGATAATTGCTCTGATCATGGTTTGCTGAAGCCCCAGAGTCTTGAAAATGGCTTTGCAACCTTTTCCAGAAACACAAATGTCAATATTTTTTTTCTGACAAATTCTATTCATGTGATTTCTTGATTCAACAAATGTGGCGCTACGGTCTTACCTGTGAAATTGAACTCTCTCCAAAATTGTCGTTAGTCACACTTACTTTGTGATTTAATAAGGGGGTGCGGGGCTAAATGAAACCTTTGTATGTGAAAAATATGCAAACAACACAGAAATCAGGAAGGGAACAAATACTATTCCACAGCACTTTACGTCACATATTTCAACCTTATATTGAGTCGGATAAAATTGACTTTACTCAAGCATTACAAAGCTTATCGCTCAGCGTTCACACACAACCACATTCGGCGTTATCTCATGAAATCTTCCACGCGTCTCATCTGTGCAGCACTGTGAGTTCCGAATGAGGGGCCACTATCACTGTCTGCGGCCCGGATGCTACTTCGTCACCAACATCACCACCAAGCTGCCATGGCACATCAAGAAGCACGAGAAGGCTGAGCGCCGCGCCGCCAATGGCTTCAAATATTTCACCAAGAGGGAGGAGTGCGGGCGACTGGGTAAGAAACATTCTCATCCTTGAGTGAAGAGATTCTCGACCATTGTGTTGCAGCAAAATAATGTGTCGTGAGAGATAATCAGCTGTGTCATGGGAAATTAGCAAATTTTACTTAATAGGTCAGAAATGTATTATTTGTTTGCAACAAGTTACAGTCTGTATCTTTGTTTACCTGTCTATGGCTATGCCAATGACATATAGTGACAGGCACAAAAATTTAATTCTCTTCCACGAAATGTATCCATCATGATTTAAGCGTTTAGTATTCGCTTTTTTGTGACATATGCGTTTTAATACTGTTTCGATTTTTTTGTAACATTTGTATCCTGGCTCAATAAAGGTTGAGAAAAACTGCTCTAGTGGTTGGTACCAAATTGGCTTGGCACAATTCCCAATTTTGTGAACCATTTTCCGAAGGTAAGAGTTAAATAGTATTTATATTTTCTAGTAACATGAGCTATTGATGTTCCCTTGCTACTGGAGCAGATTCATCATTTGTCGTCGTAAAATTTGAGAATACACACCTAGCGATGCCGAAAATAAACCACACGCTAACATTAGCTTGTTATCGGCAGTGTAAAGTACCTGAAAGTAAAAGTACAATTTTTTTTTTTTTTTTTTTAACAGTTAGTCATCTTGCGGAATATGACTTAGGATAAAGTCGGATTGGATGTTCAATGTATTTAAGTATTGGAAGTAAAAGTAAATTAAAAAAAAAATGAGTAGTTAAACTTTCCTGATGTTTTTTTAGGATTTTTATTACTTTGATTTTCTTCAGCGGCATAGTTCAAGATGTGCATGTTGGGTAATGAGCGGAGTTACCCGGTTCATTGTGATGCTGGCATCTGCTGGCCTCAAGCCGAAGGGAGCGACAGAGACAGACACACACGCATGCACCCACGCAGACTTCCTCATTACCTGCCACTTCTTTTCATTACTTTCCCCAAACGGTATTTGTGCGCCGCTGTTAGCATTACAACAATGATGAATGTTATCTGATTTAACAATATTTTGCAGTCACGAGTAGCTAAGAGGTTTTATTTATTGAATGTAAGTTTCCATAAATATAAATCATGAAATAAAGTACGAAATTGTGAGAATTCAACTTCAATACAGTAACAATACTGGTGCTTAGGTCTGGACTCTCCGCACCGCAGTCTCCACTTTGCTGCAGCTGTCCGTTGTCTTGCTGTCCCCAGTCTCCTCTCGAATAGCATTCGCCTCGCTTTGAAAGAAAAGCCGCCGGAGTAAATACCGGAGACCCGAGTTCTCCTCCATTGTTATTTTTTGTTAGCGTGTCTCGTTCTGACTGACTGCTCAATGCGCCGTTCGTTTCCTCGGTTTTCCCCAGTACTAATTTGAAGTGGAAAAATGACAACCTCTTGTTCTCAGACTTTGACTATCAAGCTTTAGTTCCCATGCCTGGAGATGTACATTGATTTTTGGTCAACTCTCACAAGAGAAAGAGCAGTGTTGCAATGAGAGAGGAGAGGAGGTGTTCGTATTTGTTTGTTTGTTTGTTGTTTTAGTTTTTTTTATGGCTCGCAATGACACGTCAGGTCCCCAAGGTAGTCGTACTGTAGCAGCAATAACGTCGGTGGGTATCCGGCTTTGTTTTCCTCTTCCTTTTTGCCCCTGTCAGAAATGAGCAATTAGGTTTGTGTTAGTTAATTAACCGGCTTGTCTGGTTTAGCCTGTTTGCGCTGGGAAGCTGCACCTCACAGCCGCCGCTGCCACCGCGCACAAATGAATTAAAAGTGATCTGGGTTTTTTTTTTTGTTTGTTTTTGTTTTTTCAGGCAGTGACACAGGATTTTCATAATACTCAGACAAAGCAAACAAAAACAGGCCCGAAACAGCTGTTTTTCGTCCCCAGCCGGCTCTGCCAAGTGTATTGTTTGAGCGGGGGCGTGGGGTGGCGGTGTTGGGGGAGCAGAAAGGATTAGCATGGCTAACACTGCCGTCATAAAGAATTGATGGCTTGCCAGTCTCCATGGCAGCGACATTAAACTGAACACCGCAGATGATGTTACCTGGTTTGTGTGTGACAAAAGGCACGCCGTGTCACAGGGGTCACTGTTATTTGCTCAACTTGGCCCGGTTTAAAATGTGCCCCGTGTGCGCGCGCATGTGTGTGTGTGTGTGTGTGTGTGTGTGTGTGTGTGTGTGTGTGTGTGTGTGTGTGTGTGTGTGTGAGAGCTATTTGATGACACATACGTATGGCGCTCTAAAACCCCGGGTGTCATGGTTACTGACACGCTAGCACCTGCCCAGCATGTTACTCAATTATTTCTGACTGCCTTTACAGAAAAAGTATTTGATTAAGTGGCACAAAAAATAAATATATATGTATATATGCATTCACATTTGAAATGAGAAATCAATTAGGGAATAAAAAAAAAAAAAAACAGGAGAAAAGAGCAGAAGGTGCTTAAAAAAAAGGGAGCAAAAGACGACAGACACTTGGAAAAATGAATTTAATACGCCAACGATTGTGTATTTACTTTGGCTCGCAGGGGTGTGCGTGCGCATTATTGGCCCACGGAAAATGAGAATTTATTTATGTAAATTCCTAATCGAATAAAGGATGTCAGTGTAATAAAAGAGCTCCACAGGTTTAGTGCACAAAAGTCCTGACTTGCTCAGCGTGACACCCCAATGATCTAATATTCCTCCTACGTTCACTTTTTCTTTTGCCATAGCTACCGTATATCATGAAATTAAAAAACTATATTAAACTACATAAATATTGCACTTTGTGCGATCTCATCATAATCACCCGCTGTCGCCCGCACTGACGATATTCAATGAAACAAGCTTCTGGCCGCCATGGCAACCCGGGTCTGACAAAAAATTGGTGTTTTTGTCTGTTTTGCCAGGTTGCAAATACAACCAAGTCAACAGCCACTTTCACTGCATCCGCGAGGGCTGCCAATTCTCCTTCCTACTCAAGCACCAGATGACTTCACACGCACGCAAACACATGAGACGGATGCTGGGGAAGAACTTTGATCGCGTCCCATCCCAGGTACTGACTGACTCAGCATGTGACACAAGATGCATGCCATTCTCAAAAGGGCAATTACACAATTACACACAAGTCTGTACGAGCAGGTGCCAGGTGTCTTCCACACACTTTCCGAGGCCGTGACTGCATTTCCTTTTTTCATGATGATACTGGCTGCAAATAATAAACTCATTTTTAATCAGAAACACGGTGCCCAGAGCGAATATTATAGTTTGGCATCTTCTCAAACATGTGATTATTGTGTTTTGTAGTAAATATGAAACAGCAAGAGTACACGTCCAAATAAGAACATAGAAAAACATGCAAATAAATATGAATATAAATATACATATTCGTGCGGCCAGGTAGTCAAGTGGTTAGCACGTCGACGTCACAGTGTAGAGGTACCGAGTTCTATTCCAGCTCCGGCCTTCCTGTGTGGAGATTGCATGTTCTCCCCGTGCTTGCGTGGGTTTTCTCCGGGTACTCTGGTTTCCTCCCACATTTCAAAAACATCCATGGCAGGCTGATTGAGCACTGAAAATTGTCCCTAGGCATGAGTGTGAGTGCGAATGGTTGTTCATCTCTGTGTACCCTGTGATTGGCTGGCAACCGGTTCAGGGTGTCCCCCGCCTACTGCCCGAAGACGGCTGGGATAGGCTCCAGCAGCCCCCGCGACCCTTGTGAGGATAAAGCGGTTCAGAAAATGAATGCATGAATATATATATTCATAAAAAATACCAAATCTAGTGTGAGGATCACCACTGAGGGCATCGGGTAGCCTCCAAGGATCGCGTGAGTACCCACGCCGGACTGTGAGATAAATAGCTCACCTGTGATGGGACATTGGTATTACCTAGGAGTGTTGTAGAAATTGGAAAATGTGAACAATGGCAGAGATTTATCAAATTGAAGTGTTGTCCAGTGATAATTAGCTCTTTCCTATTTCCATGGGCAATCAGTGGCCCTTGTTACCAATACGTGGGCCGTTTGCTAGCGGGCTGCACAGATAGACTAGGGGGTGGGGGTGGGGGGGTGATTGTTTGTTTTTCTTTTTGGTAGCAGCCCAATTGGGAATAATATTTTGTCGTAGACATCGGCATCTGCCCAACACACACACACACACTCAGCGATTACAATCAGGAATATAGGGCACCAAAGCCACCTCCCCCTCCAAATACCCCACCCGGTCATCAACGAAAGGTTGCCGCGAAAAATCTGAACTATCGGTCCCGGTTGGAAAAAAGGTTGGGGACTACTGATACTGATTAGCATGAGCAGTGTCTTCTCGTGAATGAATATCATTCATTATTAATGGTAACTTATACAGGTAATTTCAGCAAATATGTTCTTTCAGAAGTCTGAATCAAACTGACGGCCCTTTGCATGAATCAGTACCGAAGAAGTCGCTTTCGGTTCAGAAAAGGTTGGAGAAATCTGATCTAAAAACCAAATGCAAAAAAAAAAAAAAAAAGAAAACGTTTGACAGAAAAATAAACTAATCTGCCAAACATGTACTTAATACACTGATGTGAAAGAGACTAATATGTAAAAATGGAAAAGAACTATAAAAAGTACACACTTTTTTCTTTTTTCTTTTTTTTAATGCAACTCTATGCCAAAACGCAACGGCTTCCACCTTGAGATGAGTGCAATACTTCTCATGCCGAAGCAATCCATGATATTCAAGACTCTGTTTGAAGGAAAATATTCTCAATACGTCTCACTCTTCATCTCTATGGCCCACATAGTACTATCAATGGATTCCCATGTGGATTTTCTGGTTCTGTTTGTACTTTTTTTTTCTCCCCCCGGAATGCCTCATGTAAAAACATTACATGACGTTCCAAAAGTCAAACCCCGCATGAATTAAAAGGCGTTCCGTGTCCGTTTTTTTTTTTTTTTTTTTGCATGACTCCAGGTGATGCCACTGAGCCAGAGACCCGATGACCTGCATCATGGCACCGGCATGGTGTCGGGAGCCATGGCGGCCCACTCCGATATCACTTCCAGTTACTCCTCCGCCACCGTCGAGGAGGCTGACGATTACGTCGACTACATGGGAGGCGGAGGCAGCCCCTTGGGTATCTCCTCCGAGTCATCCAATCAAGACCGCAGCTGCACCAGCACCCCAGTGGGCCACGACGGCTCCCCAGCAGGTAGATACTTCACACAAGCACACACGGGCGGGGCCGCCACCAGTGTGACAGGTGGAGACACGCAGTGTCATCCATCACTCATCATCATGAAGTCACGTACTGTATGTCCTCATGGAGGAGTTCAGGCCTACTGTTGGTCGTCGGAGCCGTACGTTGCCGCATGCTTTCACTTAGAGATCAAATCTGCTTGGGTGCGCTTGGTCATTCTTCTTTTGTTTTGTTTTGTTTTTTAATGGATTTGTTTATTTAACACGGACAGCACTAAAGCGATTGACAACACTTCTTAAAAGGCGCTGTCGACAAAAATTACAAAGGTAGATGAAATACAGACAAACGTATGAATTCATATTTAAAATCTGAGTCAGTAGTTTCAATATGAAACAGTCAAAGCTTCATTGAAGCAAATCTGGCCAGACTTGTCATGTTGTGAGGTGCCAGTTAAAATCAGTCTTCAGCCTCACCCAACTAGGAAGTCAATTCCAAAGCCTGGAGGCTCCTTTAGTTAAATCTTGAACATCCAGTACATCGTCTCCATTTCCTCGAAATTGTTTCATAATAAGAGTGTGGCTTCAGGTGACTTTTCCTGCTTTTTTTAAGTCATGTTTTATTTCGAAAAATTGTATATACCTGCTTTCTCCATGCGGTGCCACCTCTGTCATCATTGTAGTTCTGGCTGGTGCTTACTTGTCTTGAATGGGCCTCATTTTGTATCATTCTCTTATCTTTATCTTCCCTTTTTACTTCCCATCCCTGTGTGGGTGTGTGTGTGTGTGTGTGCGTGCGTGCGGGTGCGTTGTTTGTGGGCCCCAAACTCCCTCCCTCTTGCCCGCCCTTCACCCTCTTTGGTCAACCTGTCTCTCCAGGACTAGGCTGCCCCACCACCACCACCACCACCACCACCCCTGCTGACACTAGCCAAAACGCTCCTCCTTCCTCACCTCCTCCTGCTCCTCTTCCACCACCGCCACTTCCACCTCCTCCTTCCGTACCGCAAGCCGGCCTGCCGGCCCAGGCTCAGGCTACATCACTGTCTCCCGCTCTGCTCCGACCACCCTTGCCCTCGCTCCCATACCTTCTCTCTCCATCCTGTCTGTCATACTCTCTGCTCAGCGCCTCTCTGGGAGCCACTCTGAGTGTTGTCATGCCAACCAACACACCAGCTTACAGCCCCATCATTGCCACTCCGTCGCCGGTTAAAAATGACGTCCCTATAGTGCAGGACGCCGCAGGTACTTATCCCCGAAGCAAACCAACACTGCAGCCGTCACTCACTGTTGAGCCCTGTGCAACGTGTTCATTGTGTCAGCAAAAGTTGCTGTGCAGATTTGTGGGAGGAAGACAGTAAAATGAGTTTCCTGGTATGCATTTAGAGTCTTGATAAAAATAGAAATAAAACAAAAACATTGACATTACACTCACATTACAGTTAGTAGGCCTTACAGCTGTTTTTTACAAATGTTTGGGTGGTGAATCCAAAATCTCCGTTTTTGAGCTATAGGATCCCTGTTTTCATAACAAATATGAAATAAATGTCTGTGTATGCAAAGAAAACACAAAAATGAAATTGATAAAATAAAATGGAACAAAGGTACGGCCTTCGTTACAAGGTTACATGAAAAGCCAGCGCATTTTTTTTTTTTTTTTAATTCCTACTTTGCCGGCTTTCTGTTTGCAAATATTGACAGCACTGGGAGCTGCACACACCTCTCAACACACCGTCTCAATTCTGGCTGCATCAATAAGTTGCCACGTAGCTGTCGATGAGTCCATTCGTATTAAGCGGACAAGTCTTATGACAGCTAAGCAGTGGAATTTTGCTTACCTGGTAAGCGATGGAGAAAAAAAAAAACTTGACGTGCCGGAAAAACACTGACTGTAATTTTGAAACAAGCGTGCTAGTTTTAGTTTTAATCAGCATACGAAGCAAACTCAACAGATTTTTTTGTTCAAAATTCTACCCCAGTATTATGCATAAATACACTACATCACTTATCAAACTCAAGGCCCGGGGGCTAGATCAGGCCCGCCCGGTCAATTTATATGGCCCGTGAAAATTTTTAAATTTTTAATTTTATTTTTTTATATTTTTTTATTACAAATTGTCATATGTAATAAATGACATTGAGATTTTGCAATAATTTTGTTACCCTGTTTACCCTCACTTGAACAATAACTGAACAAACTATTTTAATCGACTTTACTGATTTCAAAACTAGTCATCTATTAATTATAAGTCATCATTTTGTGCTTTCGCTGTCATAACGGCCCTCCGAGGGAAGCCGTAACTCCAAATTGGCCTGCGACTAAAATGAGTTCCTACATGGACAAATTTATTGGGACATCTGCCCATTGCCTCTACAAGAAGTGCCAATGGAAGACCCTTACTGTATGGAGTGAGAACAACTTGCACTCTTCTGGGAAGACTTTCTCAACAATAAATTGGAATGTGTCAAACTATATGGCATGATAAAATAGTCCTGAGGAATGTAGAATTATGAATCTTTGTGCAGTTTGGCCCACCCACTGATTGACATAGTTAAAATCTGCTCACTGTCACATTACTTTTGTCCAAATAGTGCACCTGCGTGTTCCCATGGAGTTAAGATTTCAGCAATAGTGCACTAAACTTGGTTTAAAAAAAAAAAAAAAAAAAAAAAGGAAAACCTCAGTCTCATCTTTTACAAGCCAGTTATTTTAATCACGCCTCAAGTTTTATCGAGACCCACCGTTTCCCATCTTGCCGAACGGGGATCACATCATTAGCGGTGACCGCAGGGTGTCGCGCAAGGTGGGCGCCCCCACTTAAAATAACACGCGGATGAGAGGGCCGGTTAAGACCCAAAGCCACGTCTCTGCTTGGAGGCGGGAGACACCCTGTAAAAGTGTCATGTTCCAAAGTCAATCTATCACTTTCCTCCCTCTTTGAATGGTAATGGGAATTAGGAGTCGGAATTGGTGGCTCTCTGTGCTTACTCAGCTGTGAACCACTTCTGCCCGAGTGAGGTCGGACATTAGCGTCGCAACCGGGAAGATCTCACAATGCGATGATGTCGTTTGCGGCTTTCACTTGGAAAAACAACCGATTCTTCTTTTATGCGCGTCCTCTTCTTTGTTGTCCGACAGGAAATACCATCTCCATCCCCACCGCCGCCGGAGCCAAGAAGCGCTTCTGGATCATCGAGGACATGTCCCCGTTCGGCAAGCGCCGCAAGACGGCGTCCTCGCGCAAGATGCTGGATGAAGGGATGATGCTGGAGGGCTTCCGGCGCTACGACCTGTACGAGAACTGCAAGGACTCGGGCTGCCAGTTCTCCCTGAAGGTGACCCACTACCACTGCACCCGCGAGAACTGCGGCTACAAGTTCTGCGGCCGTACCCACATGTACAAGCACGCCCAGCACCACGACCGCGTGGACAACCTGGTCCTGGACGACTTCAAGAGATTCAAGTCCACGCTGAGCTGCAACTTCCTGGATTGCCAGTTTTCGGGCAACAGCACCCACTTCCACTGCCTGCGCTGCGGCTTCCGCTGCACCGACAGCACCAAGGTGACGGCCCACCGCAAGCACCACGGCAAGCAGGACGTGATCAGCGCCGCCGGCTTCTGCCAGTTCAGCTCCAGCGTGGACTGCGAGGTTCCCGACTGCAAGTACAAGCTCAAGTGCTCCCACTTCCACTGCACCTTCCCTGAATGTAAGCACACGGTGGTGGGGATGTCCCAGATGGACTCCCACAAGCGCAAACACGAGAAGCAGGAGCGCGGCGAGCTGCCGTCCGTGTCGCCCAAACCGGAAGCCGCGCACCACCTGGCCTCCTCGGCCGGCCCTCAAGCCTCCCTGGCTTTGAATGCGTCCCGTGGACTCACCCACCCCGTCAGCAACAGCAGCACCCACTGCATGCTCTACTCGAGCGGCGGGCCAGAGTACGGCCACCCGTACCCGCCGTCATCCATCAGCCTGGACGGCTCCCTCAACCTGGGCACAGACACCGGCAGCTCCCTCTTCTTCCTCAAGAACGCCAGCGGTCTGGGTCTCAATGACTCGCTGGACCTGAGCAAGAAGATCCACCAGGAGGCGGCGCGACGCACGCCGGGCCACAGCGCGCCCCTGGGCATGCTGGCGGCTCAGGACGACACCACCGGAACATCCGGGGAGGCCGAGGACGATCTGTCGCCCGAGGAGGAGGCGCGGGCTGAGGACGAAGAGGACGAAGAAGAGGAGGAGGACGACGACGATGCGGAGCTCAACACTGACTCAAACGACGATTCGGCGGCAGAGCCCGAAGAGGAGAAGGACGACGGGGAGAGTTTCGATGCTTCCGTTAACCACACTGACACTTCCCAACTGGCCAAACAAGATGGCGACCCCTGAAGAAAAAAAAAAACAAATAACAAAACCTCGGCGAAAAGCAACCCGATGAATGCTTAAACAAACAAGAATGAAAGAGGCCTCATTCATCATGTTTCGAGACTTCACATGACAACAAGGAACAACTGCAGCGAGGACAATGGAAGGAAAAAGAAGACGACGGCCCAATTGTGATTGATGATGATGTTTACAAGATGACCAACATGATTCATTCAATAATGCATTAAAAAAGATGAACGGAGACACATGCAATTGGGCCCGGTTTACACTTGGGAGTGGCAATGTAAAACATTTTACTACACATCGGATCTTTTTGTGTGCGTGCATGTTTGACATTAATTTATTTCAATTTTTATTTTTCACGTTTTTGTGAGTGTGTGTGGGGGGGTGAAACAACAACAACAACAAAAACAACAACACATCTCTCTATGTAACGCTCTCTGTCAAGTGTGCGACGAAAAGAAAAGGAACTTTGCCTTCTCGGGCCACCCCCACATGAACCTGCAAGGAAGCACACGTTTTAAAAGACAACAAAAGGGAAGTGAATCACTAAGGAAGAACAGGATGCGTTCAAACGATTTTTTTTTCTTGTATTATGTATAATTATTATTATTATGAGACACAAAGAGAGTGGGGGAGTCTCACTTCTGTCGCTCTCTCTAAGACGTTGGACTTCTTTTGGGAGAGGCGCGCAAGCGAGCCGGGCGGTTTTGGGCCGCGAGCTCCGCTGAGCACCGCCTCACTCGGGCTGACATTCTGCTGGAAAAGGCACCAAATAAGCAGCCTGTGTAATTTAAAGCCCCCGCCCTCCCCCTGCCCCCCACATCCTCCCACCCACCGTCTTTGGTGGAAGAGAAATCAACCCTGTGTGTGGATAGTGCACTTTTCTACTAGCTCACCATGACGCAAATCGAGTGGCGGGCGGATGACTCATGTTTATTTTTGTTACCATTTGCATTACGATGTTGTTTTGTTTGCTGTCAGTGAGAAGCATATCAATCTGGAA